TTACGTAATCAGCCGAGGGGGGTTTCCAAATGATTAAGCTAGTGTAATTTTGACAGAATAGCTGTGTGTAAAAATGATTACAGAGGGGAGTTAAAAATTAGCCAAAAAGTGATCACGTAATATGTGAACGACCCCTTACTAGTACTACCTTCAAGAATTTGTTTGACAATTTTGTGACAATCAAGTTAAGTAAGTGATACGATAAGTTTGTTTAGCAGGAGCTTTCAAAATACATGTGTAAATCGTCTTCAGCTGTATGATCCGAGATTAGAAGTTCATCCACCCTCTTAGCATCAAGATTTAATTGCAATTAATGTCAAACGGCTCTAATATATTCTGACAGTGCCATAAATTCATAAGTTAACGCTGTTTAGTGTCAACGGAGGAAGCTATTTACTGAAAGATATAACTAATAAGTAATATATAACATATAAGTTATGAATCTTCAACTATAGTTTTCTATAAATAGGTTTAATAGCAGGAAATGGCGCGAGTATTAGTCATTGTCTTTTCAAGATAGCGGGTAACCCTGTCATTAAACGGCAAAGGGCCGTTTCCTGCTGCCACACATTCTCAAGATAGCGGGGAACCCTGTCATTAAACGGCAAAGGGCCGTTTCCTGCTGCCACACATTCGCTTTTATAATGCTCGCTATGGAACTGAGTTAGTTTATGTCTGGTCTCCTTTTATAATGCATATCTGAAACTGAGCTAGGTTATTAATGCTTGTCATACAAAGTTACAACAAAGTCTTCATGTTATGTATCCTGGATTTGGACAGGATATCATCGGCTTAAAATATTTCCATCGCGTTACATAATACTCAATAAATGTAATAGATTTGTAGTGTTGTAATTAATTTAAACTTATTTAACTTGCTGAGAAAAGTAAGTTCAATTTTAGTTCTTTACCTTTCAAATTATATTAACCTTTCAGTAATCAAGTACTCGTATCCATAATACAAATTAACAATCAACATACATAATATAAAGCATGCCTAGTTGTTCAATGTACATGGGTGGTACCTGATTATCAGGTCGCATAACTTGGCCCCAACAACCCGAGTTCACTCTATTTAGGTAATACCATGTATGTAACTGTATACTTTGTCGTTATCGTCACTGATAAGCGTGTCACGAATAGAGTAAATTCATTTATCGATTTCACAGTGGTTCCAATAATTTTCAACGTGCTGTTTTAGCTTTTAACAAATTTGTTGATGATACTGGGGCTCTTTCTAGTAAGGAATCAGGTACGTTTTACCTGACAACCATCTGGTGAGATAACCCAAACTCACCTGTGCCTCACTTCTAGTCAGTGGCTAATAACTTCCAAGCGCCGTCTATTTCGAAAGTACCAATGCTGCAAAGTGATACCTCCGTGTTTCCTGATTTTGGCTTTAGTATGATATTGAATAATACAGTATTGCTCTACCAATTTCCACTTGTGGGTATGCCTCACTAGACTGGGTTAATTGAATTCTTTTGATTTCTGATAATATTTTATTCGGTAAGGAATATAATTTTGTCATTAAATGCTAGATTTTGTGTGATCCCTTTTATATTTGTTGATTTTATTTTGCATAAATTTGTGTTTAGCTCGAAACTTTTCATCAGCTATCAACTATAAAAGTACATAAACCATTAATTTATTCTTATTACTTCGATTTGTTGATCAATTCAATCTTCGAAATGATACAGGGTGGGCCAAAAGTCAGTACCCATACGTTGGCCTTTATAGCTCAGTCACTGAGTGCCCAATTTAAATACTTCTTTCTGGTATGACTTAGTACCACCACTGGTTCGAGGAATTTGTCAACTCGAAAAATATTCGCGTTCATTTTTTTCAAATGGAGGTTCATTTTCACATTTATTTGATAGTTTGGATAGTCGGATCAAGCTAAATGTTATTGAATTGTGTTTGGCCATTCGAATTACGTTTGTCCTGAAAGAATTAGAACTGTAGCTTCTCAGATGACCGAGATATGAAGCATAACGAGTTTATTCATTACGTGGGATTAGGTGATTGGTTTACCTAATCACGTGATAAGGTGCCCCCGTTAACTACCCCGTTAAACATTATGGGAATTGTTAAGGGTGCCCAATTAAGGTGTCGTGTCACGGTGTCACATAATCACCCAGTCAATATTGTTAACGAGATACAGAAAATGCTTGATAACTTCGTCATTTCTAATCCGTTTTGCCCCATGTTTTCAGATCATATATGCAACATTTGATAATCTACCGTCTCTGAAAAAAATTAGGCGTTCAGTATGTTCAGAGGAAACATCAACAATATGCGATTTTAAAAAGTCGGTAATCAATAATAACAAAATGTTGAATTTCAACATTGTTATAATTTGACCGTGTATGTATTGTTTCAAAATCTTCTGCTACATTGCTTCATTAAACTAGATTCATTTATAACCAATAAAATTTCATCAGAAGAATGTCGAATGTAACAGATACACAACTCGCCACTACACAGCCCGCCACCACTCAACCCTGGACAATACCTGGACTTGTACCAGACATCGAGATACTAAACTTTACCGCTTACCTTACATGCTTCCTTATCGGAACGACTGGAAACTCGTTTGCTCTTCACTTCTTCATGAACAAGAAGAAGGACCTGGCCACTATCATTTACATTTTCATAACCTCTGCTGATCTGGTGGTGAGCGTCCTGATGCTGCCTATATCCCTTCCCTTTATCGGCTACCACAGGTACATGTATCTCTTGGAAATGGTACCTTGGTTCTGTAATCTCTGGGGTTTCCTCTGGTATTGCTGCGTCATCCTGACTGTGTTTCTGGTAGCTGTTGTTAGTATTACCAGGTGTATCTGTATCACTTTCCCTCTAGCCAGACTGTTTCTCAATAAGAAGTTAGTGATTGGAATTGTGGTGGGGTATGTGTTAGTGATCATGTGCCAGGCCACTATTCCTTTTTGGGTGGGGCATAGATACTATTATTATGCGGGACATGGCATCTGCACCTGGGAAAATGATTACATACTCTCCTCGTACCCGACTGCCTACAAAACTTATTCAATCATCTTTGCTTTTGAGATGAACATCCTTATCCTGCCGATAATATTATCGAGCGTAATAACAATATGTGTTCTGAACCAACCTAGATCTCAAATGTCCCAAACAAACAGATCCGTCAGCGTAACCATAGTTTGTTTCACACTTCTCTATGTCTTTTTCAACCTTCCTATCTGCCTGGTTCAGTTTGTGATATTTCTGCAAACAACTGCTGGTTTGACTCATATAAATTTGGACTGGCTGAGTCCCTACGGACATGCTGCTATCACTGTCCTATCAGTGGGAGTTAACTCAGCTCTGAACCCATGTGTTTATGTGTGGAGGACCCGCGCTTTCAGGCAGCATGTTATTGATATCATCAGATGTAGACGAGATGTATATTTCAGGCGTTCATTAGAAAACAGCATGGCTTTTATGATGAGATACACTCATAAAAGAAAAAGAATGGACCAGGTAGGGACAGTCAATACAATAGCGTCTCCCTCTCCAACAAAATTACAATACTCCCCCTCAAGATTACAATACTCAACAAGTATTGACAACAGAGCTGTTCAAAGGAATTCAAATGGAAACCATCATGACACCACTGATCCTCTGCGGAACCGACTACCCAACAGAAGATTACGACAATGCCAGTCACATCGGAGTAGATTACACGATACATCACCCCAAGTGACACCTTCTGCAAGGAGACAATCAGCAGATAACAAACCTGCGGAGAGAACGACTCAGTCACTACAAACAAGATCACCTGAGATGCAGTCAAACTACACGGATATCCTGACACCAGATTGCAGTTTACCAGAAAATATTTCACCACGAAAACGGGCATCGCGGAAGAAGTCGACCGCCAACTTGGAGGAGAGAAACGCACATGCCATGGTGACGGCCAATCCGTCCTATACAGAAGAGGACGAAATTCCAAACACAAACTTTACGACAAGCGATGAGCTTCTGAGGGGTGTGGTGAGCCCTGGGTACCAATATCCGTTCCAAACAACTTTTGTATGACACTTTGTTTACGACCAATGTTTCATTCATAATCAGCAAATTTCGTTTTTAACAATATCAGATAGTATTAAATACAGATTACAGACCGCGTCCCTCGCAGCATTTCCTTTTTATGTAAATTACGCTACTGATTATTGGGCTATGTGCTAATATTTAATTATTGCCGCAATCTTAACTTTAAAGTTGGTGAAAATTGTCTCTAATTGATTCGTGTGGGTTGTAAAAAATAAGATATATTATATAAGAAATTACCGATAGGTAATTCTTTGGCGACTACTCGTGGGTCATGTTACATACCCCATTGCACTGCTATATTATCAGTTTTTGAAAAATCGTGTGTTGAACAGATAGTGGGTAATATAATAACAACGTCAAGCGACAAGCGTTAGAGAATCTTCTGTGAATATTAAGAAACGTAAAGTGATCTGAACTGACTGCCCTAAAGCAGGAATGTAAAATCTTAAGGGTAATCTGATCATTTGACATGAGATACGGTTCTACTAGCATCGAATTAGAAGGGTGGCGGCACGTAACATGATGATCTAGCAGATCTCGACATACCACATGATATGCATGATCTGACGAACGAAAAAGGGTCTACAGACAGGCTGACTTAATTGTGTGTTAACAAGATAAAATATTCCGCGCGCGCGCACAGTGGTGTAAAGTTTACGCGATCTGTCCCATTATAATTCGATATGCTTTCCGATCCCGTAATTAAATAGAAAATTTAAAAATAAATTTACTCACGCCTTCGGAAGAACATCTTCAAGATTAAACAGACATGCTCCTAGGAAATTGTGTGTAAAACACAGCTTGACAAACACAGATCCATTGGTATTCAATTGGAATGTGATGTGAACAATCTAGACAAAATCAAATTCAAATTTACAATGTGTCGTTAAATCAAAGCAGATTACAGTCATAAAATGAAACAATGCCTTGAGGTATAATCAATACAGAGTAATTTAGTCATCCGGTATAAACAATTTGAAAATTTACCACCAAAATAATATGAATAAACATCTAAAAATTGGAAACGTGCCATGCAATAACAATAACAGCTAAAAAGAAAACCCTAAATCTAACGAACTGAAATATCTACTCGTACTGGGAGCTGGACTCTCTGTCGTGCTCCGGAAAGGTCTATTAAACCTATTTGAAGCATTTTTCTTGTGTTTTATAACTTGATCAAAGAAGTTTGCGATCTGTTGTTGCTGATAAGAGTTCTTATACTGCAGGTGATCCAGGCAATTAACGCTAATTAATTGAGCATTAAGATCGCCAATAAGCCCTGTTCGATCTGTAGTATATCTGCTCCTACTCCACAAAAAGTCCTGCTTAGTCCCAACTATTAGTTTCGGTATGTCAATCCCTTGAAGTAAGCCTATCTCCGCCTCTCTCGACAGCCTCTTAGATTTCTCACCATGTTGCGCAAACTCCAGCGCCCATCTGATCATGTTAGTGTAAGATTTACTGTTTGTCAGATCGTGTACCAGTATAAGACCGTGATAGATGCAACCACGGAGGAAGAGAGCGCGGCTGTTCTCGTGAACCAGACTCCCTCCCACATCCCACATTTCTATAAACTCTGAGTATTCTGAGGAGAGTGCAAAAAGTAGATTATAATATCAAGTATTAGAATCATGAAGACCACTTTGAACAACTTGATATATCGTGGGTTGACAAAATCAAGCCACAATTAAAACGCTGTCAATTGAGTTTAAAGAGTACCGAATAAACTACAAACCTCTTGATTCATGGTAGATGACCTCCACATTACAGCCGACAGTCCACGATGGTTTACTGTTTGTGTTCGATACTAAGTTAACTAAGGTTGTCTTTCCTACACCTGAGTCACCTGATAAATAATAAAGATTGTTAGTTTTTGTGAAGTACAACTCCTACACCTGAGTCACCTGATAAATAATAAAGATTGTTAGTTTTTGTGAAGTACCACTCCTACACCTGAGTCACCTGATAAATAATAAAGATTGTTAGTTTTTGTGAAGTACCACTCCTACACTTGAGTCACCTGATAAATAATAAAGATTATTAGTTTTTGTGAAGTACCACTCCTACACCTGAGTCACCTGATAAATAATAAAGATTGTTAGTTTTTGTGAAGTACCACTCCTACACCTGAGTCACCTGATAAATAATAAAGATTGTTAGTTTTTGTGAAGTACCACTCCTACGCCTGAGTCACCTGATAAATAATAAAGATTGTTAGTTTTTGTGAAGTACCACTCCTACGCCTGAGTCACCTGATAAATAATAAAGATTGTTAGTTTTTGTGAAGTACCACTCCTACACCTGAGTCACCTGATAAATAATAAAGATTGTTAGTTTTTGTGAAGTACCACTCCTACACCTGAGTCACCTGATAAATAATAAAGATTGTTAGTTTTTGTGAAGTACCACAATTTTAGTGATGATATTTCCATGTATGGATCGTTTGTATTATTACTAGAAACATTACATTATGCATCATAAAAGAGGGAGTAGCAGTCATAAAGTATGCAAACGTCACAATGTAACGGTTACATACATTAGTACAGTCTGTATTACATGTAATTATTGTAACTTTTGTATTATTGTAACTTTGTAATCATTGTAAGTTTGTCGTTTACCTAAAACTAGTACTTTGATTTTTTCGGTAGAATCTGCCATAACATCAGTGCCTCATGTCACCGATATTAGATTTTTACATCAGCTCACTTCAACTCCTATAACATTACTGGATCTTCTTGCCTTGTATTGGATATGTAGTTATGAATAGGTATTGAGATCTATAATTGTATCGTTCACATATTTAGTGGAAGGGGATGAGTAGATAACATGTGTAAACTGTAAAGTGATTACAGAGAGCTCAGGGTATGGCTGTCTAGAATGGCCAAAATCTTGCTTACATAATAATATGTGAACGATCTTATTCTTAAACTACAGTTCCCTCTAAATTCATTCAGGACAATCGAGATTCGAGAAGCTCAAAATAAAGTAGCTTGCATCTTAACCGCATGATTTGTTTTCTTGCACCGAACTGATGCAGGTGATGCAATGAAATCAGCAAAATCCCAGCCTAAACATAATTTTGCATAATATATTATATAACGAAACAACACCTCGTGACAGAAATTAAATTTTATAAATCAAATGTGTAAAAATATCTTCAAAATTAAAAATATACCGACAAGAATGAAAACAAAAATTAACAAAGTATTATAATATAATAATGCCTTCGGCTCTTCGGGCTCCGCTTGATAATTCCCGACAGCTTGCTGGAGGGAATTTGCGGCCCGAAGAACCGAAGGTATTATGTATTATGTATTATGTATTATAATACCTTCGGGAATTATATCCACTAAAACTCGGGGACACCGAGAGCTGATAATTTGCAAATTTTTCCCGCAAGGGAAGCGAAGGTATTATCAGCATAGACTCAGACTGGCTGGCGGCAAGTTTCAAAACAAATAACACTGGCGTTCTATATATTACACACTATATTGTATCATGCGCACGTATCACATTACACCCCTTCCAATCGGAACCGGAACGTATTATAATATAATAATGCCTTCGGCTCTTCGGGTTCCGCTTGATAATTCCCGACAGCTTGCTGGAGGGAATTTGCGGCCCGAAGAACCGGAGGTATTATGTATTATAATACCTTCCGGGAATTATATCCACTAAAAGTCTCCGACACTGAGAGCTGATAATTTGCCGATATATCCCGCAAGGGAAGCCAAGGTATTATCAGCATAGACCTCAGACTGGCTGGCGGCAAGTTGTAAAACAAATAACACTGGCGTTCTATATATTAGACACTATATTGTATCATGCGCACGTATCGGATTACACCCCTTCCAATTCGGAACCGGAAAATATTATAATATTAAACGGAACAAAGGTTTTTAAAGCACAGCAATTTAAGAATCAGCGACTACTTTGTTTGAAGTGATAATGCAACTAATCGATTATGGACACCATTTTAAAGATTTTTCCCAAAACTCTTCAGCTTTCCAACTAAAAACATCTTGTCCGTTCAGTCTAAACCACTCAGGTAATCCGATCTGATCTGGGTCACTTCTTCTTGACCACTCCAAAGCACTTAAACTATTAACACCTGCACTAGTACGTGCAGGCCTATCAATGATTGTGATAACTTTATCTCTGTTACAACTGTGGAGCATTTCTAATAGAACACCGCTCACTGTCAAAGCATCACTAACATCAATGGTTTCCAAATTATGATGAGATTCTATCAATTGGTGAAGAGCTTTATCATCGATGGTAGTGCCTCGTAGATCAATATACTTTAAGCTTTGTATTTTAACCAATACTTTGTCAACGACACTCAGCCAATTCTGGTAGAATGTATTGAAGCTGTAACTTATGTCTAAATGTTCCAAGTGTGTCAGCTGCTGCAGAGGGGTGAGTTGTTTTGCGGTGAACTCACATTCGTTGAAATGGAACCTTTTCAGTAACGGGCAGCCTCTTACAACAGTAGATATGAGGTTGAATCGATTACGAGTTGATGACAAGTCTAAAACTTCTAGATTTGGCATGAGGTTTAACAGCTGCACATTGAATTTTCCACATTCATTGGATAACCTAATCGCATTACAATGCGGTTTTTGTGAAGCCTTGAATCTTTTAAGTTTATAGAACTTTTTTCTGGGTCAGATGAAACTTCTTGGTTTGTGATCATGTCTTCCAAATTATTGGGATTTGTAAAGCTCAAATCCTCAACAGACGAGTGAAACGTTTCTAACAAAACTGCCATGTCAGTCTGATTCATATTTGTGCACTGTTTAAAAGATAAACATCGTATCTGATGTCCCCTTATTGCTCTGAAAATATCAGCAAATTCATCTTGTCCGGTCAGAGGCCCCAGGTCCAGCATTTTTAAGCTCTCCGTCTTTTCAAGAAGCTTTGCGAGAAGACCGTTCGATTCAAGTTGATGTCCGCAATTAAGACTCAAACTATTCAAATTATTTGGTAGAGATTCTGGGATTTGTAACTTGAACGGATGATGTCTTTCATCAATATTCAGAGATAAAGTTTTGAGATTGGGGCAATATTCGGACACTATCAGAAGAATGTTACATTCTGACAGAGAAGAAGTTTCAGGAATGCTCCTTGACTTAGATTTAGGTGTATCTAGTTGAAATCTCTTATAGTATACATTATTATCAATATGAAGATGTTGTAGAGTACCAATATTTAAAGTAACAATTCTAATAAAATTTTTGGCATAAATTATCGTTTCTTTACTCTTTTCATTACTCTTTTCTTTACTCTTTTCATTACTCAAATTTCTGGTATCCAAAATTTTCAATCGACTTATCCTTTGTAAACAAAGAGAATGCCATCGCTTGCAGACTGTGGACAACACAAGAAGAAGATCCAAAGTCGGGATAAATGATAGAATATAATCCAGACAGTCGTCACTGAGAAAGTAGATTGAAGATACAGTCGAGTTGAGGAGAATGTTTTCCTGATCAGATAACATAACAGAGTACCGGGCCTTATGATTGGACAATGCCTCTTTAATAATGGTGAACAGAGTAGGTCATGTTAAAACGTGTTTCACTTAACATTACTCTTGTTAATCATACTACTCAGGCAGTAGGTAGCCTGAAAGAGTGATGGTTATGAATACACTAATATTGTTGATGGCATATTGTTTTATGCAAAAAAATCGTCATATTAATATCAGAGTATAACCGAGAGATATATTGTATAATTACAACGTTTTTAATTAATTTTTTTAAATTTGACATTTCACGGTTTAACATTCATGTTTGAAGAAGTAAGAATCAAAAACATTTTACAAATAAACGTTTAGTACAACTGAATGCAGCTTACATTATTTTGAAGGTACATCATACAGTGATCAATTCTTCAATACAATGTAAATCCAATGATAAAATATATATATAATCTCTAGAAAATTAAAAGCTCTACTCTAATATAACTCTGATTGATAATAAATGATAAAATATATGTTTAATATTAAAATTCTGGGGAAAATATTAATTCTGATATGATTAAAATGAAACCAATTATTTTTAAAACCATTTTAAATGTAGCAAAAACTAAATTCTGCCATTGAATATCTATAAAAAGCCCAACCCTGTTCTGAATGAAATGAACAAACAATCATCAACATAACCAAATATTGAAATAGATTCTTGTGGTTTATACATCTGCAAGGATATGTGAAGCTATAAACCATTTAGTACTTAAATATAGAATTACAGTTTTATACATTTGGTATAAAAGGGTTTATAATCTTAATCTTCAAAAGATGAAAACGACTGTTCTGTATGTGTGTAGAATTCTTACATGATTTGGTCATCACCCAATTCTAATAGAGCTTTTCATAAATATTGCTCAGCGGTAACATGATAGATTATTTGATTTTAAGGCACTGAGTAAAATAAGCCATAATTAGAACAGGAATTTCCAGCAGACGACGCTTAAAGCCACCATAAACAAAGCAATTGTAACACCAATACAAGTGTTTCTGCAACAGCTCGCCATTTTCCTGTTCTTCCTTCTGTGTCTTCCATCAACCCGCACCAACCTCCTCTCAACCACTTCAACTGTGTGGGGTAACTTCTCATAACGAGTACCAGATGCTGGTACAGTGTGGGTTGGTAGGTATCTCTCAGGTGGGTATCTATCTGGTGGATATCTCTCAGCTTGTGTTGGGTATCTCTCAGATTGCTTGTGGTATTCCCTCATATTTAATGTTTCTGCATCCATTGGGATTGTTGAGTCGTCTCTGAAGGAAGGAAGTTTCTCATAGTTGCCACTGGTAGCCCAGGAGTTATTGAAGCTTCTGGGGGCGGAGGGAGGTGAGAAGGGGGCTGAGAGAGTTTGAGAGGTAGGATAGGTGTAGGTGGCTGGCCCTGGAGCATGGGCAGGTATGTGATATGTTGAAACTGTTGTCGCATCGTTCACTGAAGCTGTCATGTTGTTGTCCTCTGTAGTGTTACTCAGTATGTCAAGGTTTAGGTTGTTCCCAAATTTGTAAACTTTTCCACTGTCCACAATCTCAATCAGATTAGCAAATATTGATTGAGCTAGGTTGATGAACTCCACACGGTTGTCAAAGTTATTAAATAACGCTCGTTAACTATCTTATTTTTGATAGCATTGACTTGTGACATCTTTCGCTTGATGTTGTTTGCATCGTATGGAAAGTTGTTTATTTTCTGTTGTAGAGTCTCACCACGCTGCTGGAAAACCTCCCTCAGGATGTGGTCTATTCTCTTGGTGACCTTTACAGCGATACTGATGTCCTCGTATTGCTCATAGTCAATAAACGTGAGATCCTGAAACAATGATGTATGTAAATATAAACATAAAAATCTCTATCAAGTATGATTTATGCCAATAAAAACATTTTGTAGGCTCATCTGTTCCTAAGCATCGCCCAATATAATTTATAAATAATAATATGTATTTTCGAGATTAACGGTCGCACCTATGCTCAAAACCTTATGCAAAATTTGTGTATGAATTAAGATTACAAACCTCCAAAAGAGACTGTGAATTAGGACAAGGAACCAGGACACTATGTCGAGCGGGCGACACACAGATGCCATTCTCTGTAGGACTCAGGTTCACAAAAACCTCCATGCTCTGATTTATGAACTTGCTCCTGTCTCTCAAAAAATCAATTCCCTCAGTGTGGTTAATCTGATTTCTCTCGTAAAGAAGGCCCTTCATAACAGCACAAAGTCTTGTCTTAACACCTGGATCCACCACATTCCTATGATATTGGGTGTCCAGAAACTCATCTATTTGATCCCCAAGGGTAGTTGTCTGATCAAAGTAACATCTGTAATGTGACGATAACATGAATTTCAGCTCCTTCATGACTATGATTGCAAGTTCTATGTCCTGAAGATTTTCAAATGTGATGTTGCCATAGCGCAGCTGAAATTTGGACTCAGGAAAGGACATTGGCTCAGCTGAGCTGCCTCCAGCATAAGTTCCATCAGTGAACTCAGAGTAACTCATTTACAATCGATATTCTTATTTTGTCTTCCACCATACCATGCCTTTACAGCTGAGAGCTAAGGAAAAATAACAGGATGGTAAGAAGAGTTAGGGATACAATTTTTACTTACAGTTATTAACACAGCAGGAAAGTAAAATACAAGCAGTAAAATCAAATTTCAATGAAATTAAGTTGCAACTTATTTGAAGGAAACAGTAAAACAGAAAGAGTATTTTCATAATTTAATATCTGAAGCGTTAAAAATTACTCTGATAAATACAAAACTTAATATTGAAAATATGGAAACATCTTGGAATATAATAAATATTTATACACTTTTATAATTTATATATACATTATTACTTCTGATGAAAATTGACAGGGAATCTGATTATGAACGATTGTTTTAAATAATACGATCAACATGACGACACATGATTTAACTAAACCAATAGAGGCAAATAAAAATGACTAACTCAGGGGTCAGTAAGAATATAATAGCATGTAACTTTAATTTTACATGTTATTTAGCACCATCTTGTTTTTCAGCTAAACCAGTGAAATGATTTCCCATGAGGCCAGAAAATTCTTGGATAAATTTTTTCATTTCAGTATTATTGCCATACTTTTTAGCAGCCTCTTGGGGATTTGTCTGAAATTCCTGAAAGGCAGCCATGAATTGAGGATTGCTGAGTTTGCTGTTTATCTTATCATTCGTCTGTATTCCTTTCAGTAGGTCATCACTAAGCCAATCATCTGAAAAAAATATTTCGAATGAATTCATAATTTCGATGTAAAATTTACAACATCAAGAAATATTCCACAGTACACAATTATCAAAAAAATTACGAACAATCAAACATCTTTTACAATATATTGTAATTTTTGCAAGAGAATCAAAATAGAACAATGTTGTAAATACTTACTACTATTGTCAGAAAGGAACTGATTAGCTTCTGACATTTTAGCTTGAACTTCTTTAAGTTTCAGGCCATCTTGCTTGGCTTGTGGGTTTGCTTTAACTTCTGTGATTTTGACTTCTTTGCGTTCTCTTTTTCTTGGGTTTGATAATCCACCACCTGCAGATAATGGTTAATAATTTGAGAACCACGTTCATCAATTATCATGAAATAAATGTAAATTATCAATCTATAGATTGACTTACTTATGAAAATTGTTAGTCAAAATCTTTGAATGATAACTATGAATCCCTAACTTTGAAAGATTTAGTTCATAATAGTGTAATGAAAACATTTCAGGATTCCAGTTCACACAAACATACTTAAGAATCCTTTTTTCATTCCTCCATATCCCACATTAGCATTATTACATTTAGAAGGTTCTGTCTTACAAGGCTTGTCAGCTTTTAAGACTATGCCTGTCGTTTGATTTTCTGCTCTAGCCTGGAAAAAAATGATAATGGAATCATTTAATTGATTTAGGTTCTGGGTACAGGTTTTAGAGCAACAGAAAGTACTGGTACAAAAAGGTAGGTACTCAGTCAATGTAAGCCTTGGCTATGCATTTTATGACTCCTCTAGTTGCTTCAATAATGAGCAGATTGAACCTTGTAGGATAGAAAAATGTGCGATATTTCTTACCTCAGTTGCAGAAATTTGCTGAGAAACTTGAACTTTATCAAATTGAACTTGGTTTCCAGACAGTTTTTTCACAAACTCTGACATATCATCTAGGGGTGGTGGGCCTGAAACAACATTGAGTACAATCAACGATCTAGACAAATGTATAATGAATGAATTAATATATCAAAGATTTTCCTAACAAATGTTCATAAATGTTACATATAATAATCAAAATGGCTAGAATTGGCTAAGAGAATTGCTCACTAAGAAACAATAATTATATTAGTTTTACCAATGAAACAAGAAATTTACCATCATCGTCAGACATTTTGCTTCACTTGTCTTGAGCAGCAAAGATACCAGCTAAAAACAAAAATCATATTTATTACTGAATTTGTTTATGAAGGTTAAAAATAATGTAGATATCCACCTGAATTGATCGCATTTCAACACACATGACACAGTGTGAAAAATGCTTCCCTCAGGCATCACAAGCATTAAACTGTTTTTGATAAAGTGACATGTCTGTACAAGAAAGTCAAGTTTTTCGTCAAGGTTTTAGATGTTAGAATAGGGGCATGGTGTGTGGCGAAGATAACATTTTAAATCATCTGTTTGAGCTACCGACAGAAAGAGCTCATCGTTACTTGGAAAGTAAAGTAAAGTAAAATGTATGACATCACATCATCACACATGTCTACAAAATATCATCGCACTTATGTGAACAAATATATAATTAATATTTCCCCACCAACATTAATTATTTATCAAATACAATATTTCTAAAAAATTTATCAAAAACATTATTTTAAAAAAATATATATAATATATAATAAAGATTTATAAATCGCTTATTTGCCACATAAGAATGAAACCAAAGATGATCGTTATGTTTCTCTTTAATACTGACATAAATGGCTCCCTCAATTCTTACTAAAACTTCATTAGAAGCATTCCAAAAAAAGCAATCATTTGTAATACTTTTAGAAATCATATCTTTTTTAATCCTTCTAATTGGAGTTTTATCACGTATCTTATGCTGACGTACTTAAGCGGGCTAATATCGCCCCTGTTGATACTTTCGTACAAGCAGCTAGGCTCCGATGCAGATGGTTTGGCCATGTGGTGAGGATGCCAGAAGAAAGAATACCAAACTATCTTCTGCACTGGATCCTTGGAGGACTTCGCCGCTTCGACGCGCCGCGCAAACTAGCATTCTTGCTTCGCATCGTCGATCGTTGCTTTGCTTCGCAGAGCAACGATCTCGATGGATTGACATCGTCAATCAAACTGGATCCCAAAGCATGGTAAAAGATTAAGAGGCAGACCTCAGAAAAACTGGTTTTTATGTGTCCGGGAGGATGCAGCAATCCCAACAAAGTTTACCGGCTGGCCGTGTTACTAGAGGTGGTTGTTTTTCGATAGAACGTGTGTCAGCGCGCGTACGTCATGTTCACTGCATGATCGCTCGCGTGAATTACAATCTGGAGTCATGACAACGACATTATTTTGCAAAGTTTAAAAGCTGTGATCTTTTATTTAGCCCAAAATCAAACTTTTCGGTTTAATTCAAAATCTAAGTTGTCCCAAATTTGGCTCCTGGGGAGCTAACTTTAGTTTTACGAGACGGACATTTTGTTGAAAACCTGAACTTTCTATCTCTTTTACTTCCAAAGTTAGGCCCCTAACGGTAAGGTTTCCTGGAATCTTCACAGGTGTCGATAACATCACAATAGCTAGAAAATGCAAAACAACAAGCAGCAAACAGGGTTCAATATAAAACAATTTTCGCGCGAACTTTAAAATTTACTGACGCCGCACATTAATTGGTTGACGCCGCGCAGAGATGGTTTTTCCTGGTGTATCCATATATATCTCTGATGTATGATATTTGGGATACGTAACATGTATCAATTTGACATACGTTGTATGACCCGCCGCGCACGAGTGCGCGGCTCCCCCTGTATCGTAGGGGCAAGGGGTAGAGTTTTCACTATCACTATAATGAAACGACGATGGGGGTCACGTGGTACAAGTATCAATGGCACACTACTTCCAATGCGCAGCGCTCTTCTATTGAGCTTCTCGCATTATATTGGTTAAAGTATATCGAACAATAAACAAGCCTAGCAAGCTATATAATAGGTAAACAAAAGGTGAAAGTGAAAGGGAAAGCATTCACATATCAATGAAACGAAAAGTTTTCAATGAAACGAAAAGTTTTATTTTACATTCCTTTAATCATAAATAAAATAAGAGCTTAAACCACGAATTAGTTAGCTAGACGTAAACTTGAGGAAATATTCTTTATTTAAAAAACTTTATTTGGTTGTTAGTATTTTTATTATGGTAAGTGGTTGAATTTAGGGGAATTTAGTGAGACAGGGTCAGTTTCTCTATTGTCTTTACAGTAGGCAATGCTGAGTGGCAGGAATGAGGGACCAAAACGCTTGGGGCTATCTATGTGTCTACGTGTACTGCGTTGATTGACGATGTCAATATATCCGCTGGAACCACACCCACGTGCCGAACCAACCCCAGAAAAGTTATAATTCAAGTTAAAAATCTTTACTCTGCCCGATATGTTGACCATTGTCTTGGACTGTGACCCTACCCAACAACTGTATGAGAAACTCTTCAAGCACTGGGTACAGGGAAAAGAAGAAGGACTGATATTAGCAAGGGATGCGAAAGAAGTGATGGGTGTTTCTGACAACACCAGAGCAGACCAAACTGGACCCACAAACCGCCCCAGTACCCTCCCACACTATCGCCCTGGCCAGCCGTATTTCTACCCTGCTTTTAAAATTCATAAACTGAAGAAAGAAGAACTCTGATCGTTTTCATAACTTCGCTTTACAATTTGTACCATAATAAAACTAGCACTGCCATGGGGTTCAAAAAGGGTCATTGTAAGCCTCCAGCGTAATGGTACTAAGTCTCTGCCCCATGCGGTGCCTGTCAGCATCAGCTAACAGAATAGCCCTAACATAACAATCAAGTCACAAATTAGGTCCCTATAATGATTTATTATTGTTGAATAAAGAGATTTGAATATAATATTTGTTTTATTCTGAATATTTGTTTTATTCATACCAGGGGCCAAACCACCAGCAAGACTCATTACCGCCCTCCACGAAGGAGCCAGCAGACGACCGGATGTCTTCCTAGCTGATAAATACCTACTTCAACTAGAAACGGATTTTTGCGAAGTCCTTCTTATTGATAATAGAGACGCCTTAGTCTGGCTCGCCAACATCAACAATACCCTGGACACAGAACTCAAAAGCAACATAAAAGCATTCACATTTGATTACAAAGCTTTATATGATTCATTGAGTCCCCACCTTACACTCCAAGCCTTGAAGGTGGCCATGGAAGAAAAGAGACCAGAATGGTCCGCCAAATTCAAGGAGTGGTTGATAAGAAGTGTTGAACTCAGTTTTGAGTCGTCTATAGGCAAATTTAACGGAGAGTGGTACAGACAGAAACGAGGAGTACCGACAGGAGGCAGTATCTGTGTACAACTTGCAAACATAGCTGTTAGATTGCCTCTAGTTGACCAATAAAACCCGTATTTGTCGTATGTACAAAACCTGTAAAACAAAATACTTTATTACATAATAGAATAACTTTACAACCAAATTAAACCAATTCCAAATATATACCTAATAACTAAACATTATAAATACTTACCGATTGGACGGTAGTGTGCTGCCAATGTTCCGCTCCTCCCCAGTCCAATCGGTTATCCTTCTTTGCTTGTCATTGCTAGAAAAGGTAAACACGGTTAGAAGTATTCTGTCACGAAAGAGAGAGAAAGGTGTGAACAGTAATAACAATAGCAGTATACCATGTCATGCGTGAGCAAGTCTATTCAGACACGGAACTAATGGAACCTGTCAAATCGGTCAAGAGATACATAGACGACGGCTGTGGAGTATTCCATGGTACGAAAAGACAGTTTTCAAAATTCATCGCGACTGTCAATTCAAGGCTAGCAGAACTTGGCCTCCACATTGATGAGAACATCATAGAAGATAACGTTGTTTATGTGTCGTTCTTAGACATCAAATTTTGTTTCGACACTACAGGTGTTACCTGTGGACCTCAGGCTTTTATGTTCATAAACAATAGAGATTCGGCGGAATGACAGGCTGAGCGCGGTCCAGTAATACAGGTGATCTTCAGACAGACCTCCATGTTCAAGAGACTGATGCTCGCTGATCCTACCTGTACTTCGGTTCCCACCACCCGAACCATACATTCAGCAGCATAGTCTATAGTGCATGCCTGAGACTCCGGCGAATCATCAATGATAACGACAGACTCCGAAAACAAATTGATGAATTAAAAACCTTTTTCTTCCAATCCAACTACCCTAAAACTATGGTAGATAACATCAGTGAAATAGTCAAAGGCTTTGAAAGATGTCTCAAACCACTGGACAATTTAAACAGCAATGTCCTGGAGATAGTAATGAAAATGTTTTAACACCTCAGTACTGTGTATTACTACAGCTCAATCTGCTCAGTTTGACTAATTGGGATTTAAACTCTTGATGTTGACCATTGTTAATGATCTGGCCCGGCGCGCGCTACTTCGTAGCATGTGCCATCGGGAAAAGAAAGCGGCGCGCGCTACTTCGAAGAAATTTAGACGAGTAACATCTGACATCCGTCAACCCGATATGCGATTTGTGTTCCTATCCGGGGTATGTAGCACATGGTTTTATTGGTTAAATAAATAGTATCTGTCCCAAACTATCATAAAAATTAAGTTTCGACCTCTCAACCCACTCAGGCCACTCCCAGGGGCCACGCCCATCCCAAAATTATATTATTGAAATCCAGGTATAAAAATCAAGACCGAAAATCTTTACCACCGTAGTGCATTTATGTTCCGGGGTTTCACATATGACATATCCATGTGTATACGCGTACTGCGTGACGCGCTTGTTTCCTTCGGCGGTCGCGCGCTACTGCAAGCGAGAGGGCTCTGGTTAGAGCAATTCCGGGGTAGGTGGAACCAGGAACCAGGAACATGTTTTAGTGTAAAAATAGGTAGTACTTGTCCCAAACCATCAGAAAAATCAAGTTTCGACTTCACAACCCACTCAGGCTACTTCCAGGAGCCACGCCTAACCCAAAAAATCTACAAGGGGTGGATCGTGGGGTGGGACACAACTAACGTTACTATACCGGTTACATACGTTGGGTCTTATGCCACCAGCGTGTTTCATAATATGGACTTGACGGATGTTACTCGTCTAAATTTCTTCGAAGTAGCGCGCGCCGCTTTCTCCCGACGGCAAGAGCTACGACATACGAAGTAGCACGCGCCGGGCTTGTAGCGCGATGCACTACTGG